CAGATACCAGATCCACATACCAGATACCAGATACCAGATGCCAGACACCAGATACCAGATACCTGATACCAGACATCAGATACCAGACACCAGATACCAGATACCAGACACCAGATACCAGACACCAGACCCAGATACCAGATACCAGACACCATACCAGACACAGATACCAACACCAGACACCACATATCAGATACCAGATACCAGACACCAGATACCAGACACCAGACATCGGATACCAGACCAGATACGAGATAACAGATACCAAATACCAGATACCATATACCAGATACCAGATTTCAGACACCAGATACCAGATACCAGATACCAGACACCAGATACCAGATACCAGATTCCAGATACCAGACACCAGATACCAGATACCAGACACCAGATACCAGATACCAGACACCAGATACCAGACACCAGACATCGGATACCAGATACCAGATAAAGAGATAACAGATACCAAATACCAGATACCATATACCAGATTCCAGATACCAGATTCCAGACACCAGATACCAGATACCAGACACCAGAGATACCAGATGCCAGACACCAGATATCAGATATCAGACACCGGATACCAGACATCAGATACCAGATAAAGAGATAACAGATACCAAATACCAGATACCAGATACCATATACCAGATACCATATACCAGATTCCAGATACCAGATTTCAGACACCAGATACCAGATTCCAGACACCATATACCAGACACCATATACCAGACATTCAGATACCGGATACCAGATACCAGATACCAGACACCGGATACCAGATACCAGATTCCAGATACCAGATACCAGACACCAGACATCAGATACCAGACACCAGATACCAGACGCCAGACACCAGATACCTGATACCAGATACCAGATACCAGATACCAGACACCAGATACCAGATAACAGATCAAAGATGCCAAAGGATAGAAATGATTAGAGATAGGGATTAAAGTATATATCGCTAGCATTGCATACCATACCAGCAACTGCGCTACGGGTACTTTTAAATAAAGACATCAACGTACAATATTTGGCATAGCGTTAGCATGCCAGAAACTGCGCTAGTCGACTATATTAGCGGTGATCGATTGTTTTAAGGAAGAGGTCACGTGACGTTAGAAATTTTGGGCGGGCGACGTCGACGCGGTTTTTTTCGGTTTTTTCCCGGTTCGCGAAACGTTCGGAAGGAAGGAGGGTACCGTTTCGGAAACTAGAAACTCGGCGCTTTACGGGCGGGCGAGAGCCGTCGCGGCGAGAGGAACGGATCGGATCGAAAACGGCCGGTAAAGTCGAAAAATCGACCGTTTTCCGGACGGTACGCGGCGTTATTTCACACTGGTTTCGCCGTTTATCGAAATATCGAGTCGAGATCGGTCTCGTTCGATAGCTAAACGAAAAATACGTGCCTATTAGCTAAATCTGTTCGGTTCCGCCGTCTCGGTTTTTTTTCTAGAAATGTTCGAAAAAAAGCGACAAAAATGACGAATCGCCTTGAAAACTACGCTATCTCCCTTATGCCGAAGAGAAAAGGAATTTCGCGTGCCGCGTTTCGTACATCTCGGCGAGCGCTACAAATTACGCGGAGAGACGTTTTTTCGTTTACGGTACCCGTTTCGAATAAACGAACCTCGAACGTCGTCAAGAATGACTTTTTTGCGTATAAAGCGCGCTGCTTCGCCGTAAATCAGCTATCTCCTCCGAAGATAAAGGAGCTACGAACCTGACGATTTTTGCGTGAGAAAGCCCATGCTTCGGACACTCTTTTAATACTATTTTCATCATCATTATTCGTTTACGTTGAAAAGTTTCGATTTTTTAAAAATTCCTCGACAATACGCTACTTTTCGACGCGTGAAAAAGTCCACCTTGTCATCCGGCTCTGTCCTCGCTATTACTACCGTACGTGAGCGAGTAAAAATTATACAGCTATCGAAAAATAACGATAATGAGCTGACGAAGCGATTCTGACCGTTAGAATACCGTCAAATTTCGAAAAAGTAAATTTTGAGCGCCTCAAAAAGTACCGATGACAACCGTTTTTTCGGCGTACTTTGTCTTCGTCGATACGGACCTGCGTTACGGAGCGACGTGGCTACGATTTTTTTTCGCAAAACGAAAGGCCAAAGTCTCCTGGATTAAACCGACATACGACACGTTACCCGATCGCATTTTTTTAAACTCGGCAGATTACAAAATTCAAAGATATGCACACATTTTTAGTTTGACGTTTCAATTTGAATTTCCCCTCCAGATCCCGGATTCCTGTTAGGCGGGGTATTTAGATACGATCGTATTACGAAAGCGAGCGATGTGCGAGCGAAACGTCCGAAACGTGCTATTTCGGCTTTATGTCGGTCGCTTCATCGAATATAGGATCACGCCGAATACCATTGT